GAAATACCATTCAGATCGATTATGCATTATGTTGTTCCAACATCAATAAGGTGTATTGCATTCCTCATATTCATTTTTCTTTGTGGTTCTTCCTAAACACAAAGCACTGATTACATAGCTTCAACAATACCCACAACCATCTGATACATTTGTGTTCAAGTGAGGATAATGATAACCAGAAGGGTGGAAACAATGGAGTCGATAGTGCCTATTCTTGACTCTGGCAATCAAAAAAGAAACAGCTATTGTATTCTGTGATGTGAATAACCCTTAAATAACAATGTAGAAAAGCCAAAAGTAAGCCAAAGCCAATGTCCTCGTGGGATATTAACCTCCACTGTTGGTTTTTAGAAACTGCAGTCCCAATCACGCTTCCCTGTCCTAAATTCTTTCTCTTTGACTCACAGGATAAAGCAAGGGATTTTGTGAGCTAGGGGACTTCAAAACTTTAATATTCAGCCCCAAAGTACAGCGTGTTGTGTGTAGTGATGACCTCATTATGTGGAGAGAGCAATAGAAGCCAGGCATTACAGACAGTTTGACAATCCCCGGAGCTCCTGGCCTCTGGGTACAGAGGAGTGTGCAGCTGGACACTGTGGAAAATATGAATATGAGTTCTGAACAGATGGGGTTATATAAACCAAGCCAATGGTTTGCACTTGCTATTTTACATACACATGTATACACACATGCTACACGAATGATTGCAGATTGCAGCACTCACTGACTAGACAGCAATTTGCTAAAATCAGAGGAAATCTCAGCATGAAGCTGTGTAGCTTTACAAGAATAAAATAGCTTAACATCTTGAACTGTTCTAGTCTACCTGCCTTGAGCTAAATATAATAAAGTAGTTAGCAACTATTCAAACTCAGAGATTTATTCCCAGTGTAGTGTGGTACCAGGTGGTTCAAGCCAGTGAGGCAGATAGTGAAAGGCTTGGATATACCCTGAGACAACTATACAGAAACCCTATAGTCACGCACCTCTATCTGACAAATGAGGAATAGCTTGCTAACATGTTGTGCTGGATTACTGCCATGCACTAAAAACACAAGCAGATGGGAGACAATGGACTGCTATTCCTGCGCTTTTCTTCTCCCACGACAAAGAAATGAGGAGACTAAAAAAGAATACTGGAGCTTAAAACAATGCACACAACTGGCTATAACCATTTGTCCCCCAAAATAAATGTTTTTGTTTTTCATTACCTTTACTGATTATCATTTTCACGGCAATCTTAATTCACTTTTTGTTTTTTCAAACAAACCCTAGTTTTAGAAAAATTCTCTTTAGCGTCACTCTTGAGTTGACCATAACATGGTCATTTCCCTAAAAGACTGTTGATGCTCGGCAGCAAGATTTTGTCTTCCACAGCTGCACAGCATCAAAGGTCTATCTAATTCAGTAGTGTCTTACTCACCTAATATATTGGCTGGAGCTCTGTGTAATCCAATTTCCTTGGGAGACATAACTTCTCTGAGGCTTTCAGTGATTACCTGCTCATTTCAGACTCTGTAATTGTCCTCAAGTTCAACGGACTAAGCTTGAATGTAACTTTGTGACTCTCTCCTCTGAGACTGTCTTGTGTGCTGACATAGTGATAAATGACTAATTAATGTAGCCTATTTCTGAAGTAGTTTGGTGGTTTGTAATGGATGACTAGATAGTTGAGTGAAATAAGAACAGAGGGACCATTTGTCATGAGTTCTGGGGATATTTTTTTTAATTAATTTCTGTGTATTTTCCATCTCTGTTCTTTATGGTATATGAAAAGTCTGTATGATGCATTACTGTTACAACATAGCAGGCTTATAATATATAGTTAAACACTGTACAAATGATATGTAGAGGACAGTCAGCCATCTCAATCAAGTTTGAGCTGAAACCTAATCACAAAGCTTCTTTGAAACTACTTAGAGATAAATGGTTATCATTTGAATCCATCCATCCATCCATCCTTTTTCTTTTGCTTATCCAGGGCCAGGTCGTAGGGTCAGTAGCAAAAGCAGAGAAGCCCAGACCTCCCTCTCCACAGAGACCTCCTTCAGTTTATCCAAAATTACACCGATGTAATCTCACCAGCATATCTTGGGTCTACCCCGGGCCTCCTCCCAGTAGGACATATCCAGAATACCTCACCCAGGAGGCATCCTGAACCACCTCATCTCAATGTGGAGGAGTGACAAATGACTGTTCTCTTCACCCTATCTCTAAGAGAGAGGCCGGCCAGCCTTAAGAGAAAGCGTATTTCTGCTGCTTGATCTGCATTCATTTGACTGGGAAGGCTGAATTCAGGTAGCGTAGCTGGGTTTATTTATGTGAGTGAAGCTAAGAAGGATCTGGAGACTGTGAAGTGGACAGATAACACACCTGTGGTAATCCAGGTTCTGTTTTGGGGTATCAGTGTGTTAGGGGAGTTTAGCCCAAAAGCAAAGCTCACAATTAAACCCATTATTCTGTGTTCCAAATATCACAAATGGTCATGAGCTATGGGCAGTGGCTGAAATGAGTTTCCTTTACAGTGCATTTGGGCTCACCCTAAGGGACAGTGTGCGCAGCACAGATAACCAGAAATAGCTCCTCCATTCTGTTACATGGAAAAGGACCCAGATGAGGGTGTTGCAACGTCTCCCCACTATTGTCAAGTGATACTGGATTTCTCTGTGCGATATTGACAAATCTTTACCTTGCAATGTAAAGTGGCACAAGATGGATTGACAAATAAAGCTCAGTTGTCTTCTGCTGATTTATCATATACAGAATCTAAAAGCATCCCATGAGGTTGTTCCAGCCGTAAAGTCAAAGATCACCTACCAAAAACCTACTAGCTGGTAGTGCAGGTTTATGCCTTATCAATAATTTGTTGGACAGTGACCCCATTTTTGTAGTTTTATTTCTGTACACCACCATAGTGGAAAAATCAATAAAAATCAAACGATCAAAATGTGCTGGGGGTGCTGGTTAAGTTCACATGTTGTGCAGACAACCATATGCCCCAAGGCAAATGCCTCCAACCCAGGGCCCTTTGATGGATGACTGCCCTCACACTTTCTCTCCCTGCTTTATTATTTCTTCTTTATCTGCTATCTATTCAAGGAAAAGAAGATCCAAGAAATCAAAACAAATGTGACTGAAGTGCAGACTTTCAACTTTCATTTAACATTTAACTATGATTCAGAAATTTGACAACCATTTAGGTATTACAGTCATTTTTTTATAGAAAGTCTCCCATTTTCAGAGGCTCAAAAGTAATTGTACAAACTATCAAAATTACATGTGAAGGTATGCAAATACTTTCAGGTCAATGACTAAGAGTGATGGTAAATGTATTTGTATAGCGCTTTACTTTGTGCCCCAAAGCGCTTTATACTACATTCAGTCATCCACCCATTCACACACACACACACATATTCACACACTGATGATGGCAAGCTACATTGTAGCCACAGCTGCCCTGGGGCTCACTGACAGAGGCGAGGACCACCACCAGTAGGCAACGGGTGAAGTGTCTTGCCCAAAGACACAACAACCGGGACTGTCCGAGCAGGGGCTCGAACCAGCAACCTTCCAATTACGAGACGAACTGACAACTACTGAGCCACGATCACCACA